AAGATTTGACGACGAAGTAACACAAAGGCACTCGAAAGAGGATGATTCGTTTGGAGGGATTTCAAAGGCTTCAGGACTATTAGGGGGTCGTCGTCGGAAAACAAACTGGACCGATTTTTGATTATTCAGTAAGAGAACATTTTCCTGCGATCGTACTGACACATGGTCAAGGTCATCCTTCAAAGACAGGAGATGTGTCTGATTTTTGGGAGGGTGTCCAACGACCACATCCTCAACATACTAACTAACGGATAACCGTTTGAGGAGCTCAGATCATCAGTATCGAGAAGGAAGAGGTGAGTGTATGAAATGGAGCCTTGAAAAACTCCACAATCATTGGGAAGGACCGCGGATTTCCGCTTGTTGGACTGGACAAATTGAGTGTAGGAAGTAAAGCAATCGCAAAGGCAAAAGACAACCCAGCCTAGAGAGCCGCACGTGGATGTTTTGGTAAGAAGAAGATGGCACGGGACGGCATCGAAGGCGGACGATTACTCAAGAAAAGCACAGACGTGCTCATGGCATCCCTTATCTAGTTCATGTAGGGCAGAATTGATCCCAAGAACAACAGCATCTAAAGTACCACTCTTGGTCTTATATGCAAATTGCAAAGGTTCGGAAAAACTGCAAGGAGATGGTTTTATAATATTCAGAGCAAGTCATTCAGCAAGTTTCAGTAGCGCGGGAGAGTAGACAATTGGACAAAAGGATTTAGGACTAAAATTTGTGGTTTTTTAGAAATATTAGTGATTCTTACTGTACACCAGGCGTCAGAAATTTTGAACGCCACAAAAGACATTAATAACAGCGGTTGCCTGAGAACAGCAAGATTTAAGAATAAAAGGTGAGAGAACATCCGGTCAGGCAGCTGTTGATCCGCGGACCATTTAGAGGTGTTTCTCCACTGTTGCCACAGACACAGTCGAGAAGACACATGGTAGAAGGGAAATGTCGTTTAAAGGAAAGTGGGAGTCATTGTGACCTAAGATAATATTTTCATTTAAACAGCCTAAATCAACACCCTCATGTGCCAGTGTGCTATTATGACCAGTGAGGCGTTTAAGATTCCTCCAAACTTCAGCAGAGGAAGTAAAAAAAGAAGGGGAGGAGGAAGAGATGAAAAGCTAACCAAAAACAGATCCTCTAGTCTGACAATCGCGTTCTTATTAGGATGGTAACGTCCTTATGACACCCATGTAGGCCTAGCTTATAAAAGAGTTCCTTATCGCGTCTTAAGAATTTTAAATAGCGAGAAATATTCTATCTGATCTTGCCATAACAGTATCAAGAGGGCAGCAAATATCAAAAGTTTAATTTAAGAGCCTTGTATTATGGATAGAGCACGGTTCGATATTTACTTGTTTAAGGAAAGCGGGAATAGTTTAAGAAACACAAGTCTGAAGCAAGCGGATGTTTTATGTGGACGTGTTGTGGATCTAACTTTTTATCACAGGTCTAGTTAACAGTGCACATTTAGAGATGGAGTATATTCGTTGAAGACACAGTAACGTAGAATGAACTGAACCTGGCAACGGAACTATATTTTTAACATAAAAAACCTTAGAGTGGTTGGTAAAAATGTAATCAAGAGGAGCTACGGCACGAGTATTGGAGAAGACAGGGTCATCAAAGACTAATAGTGCGAGGGGAACGTAGGATAACGCGATTTATTCAGTTTATTTGGCAAGGATAATAGGCAGGGCCTTTGAAAACCCTATTGATTACATGTCAGCCCGTTAGAAATAACTGTACAAGAACAGTAAAAATATTCGCTATTAAAACATTACTTGACTCAGAGAAAACATTTGCGGGGTCGTGGGGTATTAGTTCAGATTCAGATTGTCGAGGGAATACAGGGGACACAAATAATCATCTAAGAGTTTCTTGAAGAGTTGCAGAGACGTAGCCTCCACGACTGACTGATGGAGCTCGTTCCATTTCTCCACTACCTTCTGCGTGAACAATTCAGAACGAAGATTCAGCCTGGACATTGTTGTCCGTAACTTCATCGAGTGACCACGAAGATTGGGTGAAAGGTGCCACTGAAACCTGTCCTCAAAGCTAAGTCCATTCTCAAGACCATGTATTATCTTGTAGACGAGGATAAGATCACCTCTTTGTTGCCTGTAGCACAGAGGGAATAAATTAAGGCAATTCAGTCTGTCTGTGTAGGGTTGGCTTTTTAGACCGGTTACCAGCTTTGTTGCACGCCTTTGTACCCGTTCGAGGCATGCTTGGTCCTTTACTAGACATGGCCGCCATGCTTGTATGCCATATTCTAAGTGGGGCCGAACAAAGGTGCCGTAAACTCTCCCAAAAAGGTTTTGGTCAAAGTTTACGAAAGCCCTTTTGATTACATGCAGCATTCCCATGGCGTTTTTTGCAGCCTTATGGCACTGCAGTGTTGGTTTCAGGTTGTTCTGTATCCAAACGCCGAGATCCTTTTGTGAAGATTCTGCGAGGAGCCTTATATCTTTCAGATGATATGTCCTCAGGCTCTCATTTGAATGAGAGTTGGTCGGATGTAGGTGAAGGACGGCACACTTATGCACATTTGAATCTAGAAGCCATTCCTCCGACCACGCTTGCAGTCGGTGCAGATTATCTTGAAGGGATCTCTAATCATTGGGACCCTTGATGACTTGCCAGAGCTTAACATCGTCTGCAAACATTATTTTGCCGCAGCCGAGTTCCTGGAGGCTGTAGTTAACATAACGGATGAAGAACAATGGTCCCAGAACTGAGCCTTGAGGCACACCACTGGTCACGTTCACCCATTTAAATCGCCTCATAAAATAAATGGTTGGTCATTGGGAAATACGGTAAGTTTTGTGAATGAACGTCGAAAAACGGACTACAGCGCCTTCACATGTAGAAAGGAGTTGTAAATGCTAACACATATAATGCCTTTAAACCTGTTCAACAATCTGCGCTTGCATACAACAGCGATCCGGCCTATCAAATCATCAGTATAAGGAAATCAGTATTATTACTATCTACAGCTTTAAAGAGGACAATTTTCTAGTCTGAGAAAAGAATTCCAGCGTCGAACGGTGTCTGGCACAGAAAGGATGTCGGTTTGAACAATTCTTGGTCGAGTTCAAAGAATGGCTTCGCTGTAATCTCGCCTGGGCCTGAAAATGTACACTCCCAAGCCTTCTTATTCTTCGAATACTGCTTCTTTTCGAAAGACAATATTTTGAATAATCGACTGTCTCTTGCTGTCATGACTAGTTGGAACAAAACTGCTTCTCTTGTGAAAACGTGCCGCCAGAACTAAGGGAAATGTTCGGCTTTGTTTGTGCTGTCTGATATCTCCGAACCGCCATCACTCCTCATGACAGGAACTGAATTCCCTCTACGGGTGTTCTTTTGCATGTAGCCGTAGAGCAACCTTGAACTTTTGACGGTTCGGTAGACAAATCTACCCCCGGAATCTCGTCGCCTTTGAAAGTGAAGCCCTCTATCTTGCTCATTTGATCTTTGTACTCTGCAAAGGCCGCATTATTGTTGTTTCCTCAAAATTTCCTTCACAGACTTTCTCTCTCGTTTATTTACTTTCTGAAATGTCGTGTTAGCCACTGGGGGGTTTGATGTCCTAGAATTTGACAAGCTACAATGGCTCTTCAGTAGATACTTCAGCCGATCCTTAAATTAATTCCCATTCTCAGTGGTGTTCTCAAAGAAAAAACATCCCGGTCTCTTCGCAATACCTCAGCTATCATCTGGCAAAATCTCCCTTGCCATATATTTGGCCTCGTCTTGTTTGTAGCATACGGTGCAGAATCTAATTCGTATTCGCGTAAAAGCACTGAGCGGAGGTAAGCAGTACACCTTACCTATACTGTCAGGACCTTTATTGACGGTGACACCAAAACAACTATGAGCTCTAGTTGGAACTAGAACATGGCACGTGAAAAGATCCTCAAATGTCGTCTTTAGGAGATGGTGACCGAAGGCGTACTCAGTGCACTTCACATGCATATCACTCCCTGGAATGCAGGGTGCATTGAAGTTCCCAATGAGAACAGCGTCCGGGCAAGGTTATGGGGTCACTCATTACACCACTGTTGAAAGCGCCCCAAGCTATTTCGCGAATCCATCGCATCATCTAGCCTTTCTGCTGAACTCCATATCGTCAGACCATTAGCAAACATTACTTTTTCGCATGTATGGCAGCTAATGCAGTCGTTTTTATATGTCAAAAGCAGAATGGGACCGGGGACCTTCCCCTGAAGAACCCCATTGTAAACGATTTCCTACGCTGACTTGGCGTCACTAATACAAATAAGCTAATGCCTGCTTATGCCTGCCAGTCACATATATTTGATTCAGTTTAGATATTAGCCGTCTGTGCGGAACGTTGTGAAGGGCTTTGTTGTAGGCAGTCTGAATTGCATCTACTGATACTTCCACTTCTCAAGACTTCGCCCAGCTTTCATTAATGTGAACAGGCTGGTGAGACAGAATCGACCACTGTTTCCTGCTATGTCAAAGTCACCTCCTAGTCCACTCGAACCACTCTATGCTGCAAAAGACCTTATTTTCTTGCATTTTCTATTTCCGTAGTGTATCTCAAGTTTCTTCTGTCGTTGGTCCAACTTTTACACCTATGCACCTTTTTATCTACATCGTCTGTCTGCATGATCGCCATAATATGTACCACAATCCCCTTCAGTTATTTCCCCATTATAATCTATCCAGATGAGCTAGATCAATCAGTCAGTACATTTCTCAAGATTCTCGATCGCTATACGAGTACGTTTGAGAGGCAATCCTGCAACAAGCGCTGGATTTGGGTTATCACACATTATGGTCGACGACGACATCGAAAAGTGGCGTTCTAAGAACGATTGCAGAAAGTGAGAAGAAACTTAATTAAAGATAGGTGGCAAGATCTAGGCAGGTACGCCAGGGAATGGATAAGTGGATAATGTCAATTGTTGGTCTGATTTAAATAACCTGAAATTCGGGCGGAAAGGCAAAAGTAGTGCGTCACAATGCTTGCTTCGGCATTTTCCGTACTTCTCAGAAGGCAGTCTTTCCTCTGTAATATTCAGGCGAGGGTATGAGGGTCTTACTCCCTAGCTTATATTCAGGCTTTGACTTTATTAAAAAGGAAATATCCCCTACGGAATCCGCATTACACAGCTCTGAAGGGAGGACCCACCCAACTCTCCGTTGAAGAGCAAATATATGAAGAAATTGGTCCAGACGATGAGCGTCCTATTTTGGAGGTGCTGTTGTCGGCCGACGTTCCTGGTGTGTTTTTAGTTGTGGCACTTGGTGTTTGAACTCTGTCACTATTGTGTATTTGTACTGGATTCATTAGGTGGTTAAAGTAGCTCGCACATCATCTTGATTTTATAAAATACGCGTTTGTATTACGATAATTACTTTGGAACTCATCCAGCCTACCTCATTCATTGTTATTTGAGCTTGCATTAGCACTAAATTGCCCAACTCCCTGGTCGATCTTATAGCAAACGAATGTAGCTAACTTTGTCCATGTAAATCAGACTTGTAGAAATCCTGTGCCATTGACTGTCTGTTACTGAGCTTCTCACAAGTCGGCCGTCACATCATCCCCACCTTTTCATATCTAACCTGGTCGACCACTTGCAAATCCATCACACTTAGACCCGCGCACTAGTGCCAGGAGCTCCAACACACACTCCCCCACATCCGCCTCTCACCACCCACCACAAGCACGGAGTCGGTACCTCCCACACAAGTAGGAATCGTTATCCCTATCCCCCTCTCTCTGTTGCCTCGATAGCACTGATGCATGTGGGATTCTAGTAGTCAACCCCCTTTCGTGTGAGATCGCGGTGTGTCCTACGGAGACCAAGACAATCTACAGGTGCTCTGGAGAGAGAGAGAGTCACGCCGACTCTCAGTGTATATGACATGTTGGCAACTATGGCGATGCGTTAAAAGCCGTGCCTTCGAGGTTTGTCAAGAGAACTTGTAGTCAGTCCAGTGCTTGTTTGTGTATGGAGTGGCCGACTGGTGGACTGGCTGCAATGACTGCAATGTGGTCTTTATGGCAATCTCACGCATATGTGATCGAATCCGTACGCTCCCTTTGTGTGAATTGCCGCTTTTATGTGTCTAACACGCTCATTTTGGCCCCATAGTCCTGTCGAACACTGCATCCAATCCCAGCATCAGGCAACTGGCCGACTCTGATGGTGGGTTGATGTCTGGATGAGGGATGGGTTAGTGGGATCGACTGCCTCAGCACATATCCCCTACTATAAGCAACATAACGCGCTTGAATATATCACGGTGTTCTGAAAGCCGCGATTTGGAAGACCGCCAACCGACTGAATAACGCTGTCCTCCTCTCAGGACGTAGAGTCAGACTTCACTAGTTCCTTCTTGATGCGGCCTTTATGACACTTTCGCTCAGTTAGGGGTCCGAGCTTCCCACTCTTTTCTTTTTGCATGGGATTCTGGTCATTTGTACTTTAACCAGGGGGTGTGGTGGCACTCAGATGCGAGCTTTGCTGCGTCAGCCACCTGTGCCCGATTCCGCTTCCGGTCTTCCTGACTCTGCCTTGACACCGGGTCCAGGTGGGTAAAAAGGACAGAGTAAGTCAGATGCATCGTAGGTCCATAATCATTATATACTAGTTCGTCCGCAAGTCACTGTTCTTACGCTCACCATGCTGTGGGTCACACGGCGGACATCTTCGGAGGCGAAGGTCGAACTGCCGTGTCATATTTAGCTCCCGCGGCGCTGACGTCAAGTGGGGCTGACACTCTCTAAAATTACAGAACAAACGAGATCGCAATGTCTCGGGCGTAGTGCACATCTGAACGATTTTAGCTGGGTATGCCTTACTAAGCGCATCTCCCGTCGGCCCTCGTGTTTTTCGTTTCCACATGGACCATAACGCTTTTTGACGTCTTAGTTCTATGAGCAGCCAGAGCTCTGACAAGCAGGAACGAAGTGTTTTGTCGCTGCGGCCATGGCTTCATGGCACACTTGCCTGACCTCTGTTGTACCTCAAAATGTGACCGAAGACTCCAAAACTAATCGAACTTCATTCACGACGCGTTTCTCTCTTTTCTCAAGCCTCGTATTGGTTAATGTGTGGTATGAAATCACTCGTGTAGTTAAGTCCACTCACGGCCTCCGGCCCTAAATAACTGCAGCAAACCCCGTTTGTTTTGCACGAAGCCTTTGTACGGCGTAATTTTCCGGTGTTGTCGAATGTGCTGGACTTTTACTCTTAGTCGTCAATGGCAGGCAGTTTTTCTTAAAGTGAAATCCCGGGGGCTGACACCGACAGGATAATTGAATATCTCTACTTGCTATATCAAAGCTCGCTTGTCCGTTGGCCATTGTGCGGAAGGATACCCACAGCAGCTCTTGCACTTGGTTTTCTCATCCTACTTCAAGATGGGCTAAGCATCAGGCATCAAGAATGATCTCACCTTTCCGTCTTTATTCAACCGTCGTGAAACCAGGACGCCAGTATTAGCAGGAGACTTGTGGAACCTCATAAATTGGTAATTTCCTCAAGGAAGGAATGGCCTCGCGACATTGGATAGACGAAAGATTTAAAAAGTCGTCGAAAAGAAGAAAAGGGAGTGATGGGTTAGTTGTCGGAGTTGAGAAAACAGTCAGGGCACTCACGCCACCCCTCGACTTCGGCTGCATTGTCTGCGGTAAGGCTGTCATTCGCATATGGAGTCCAGCCACCCCCAGCTGAAAATTTACCATCAAATTGGTTAGTAAGTTTGTTGAGTTTTTAAGTGTCATCTGCGTCTGAGATCACCGCAGTGACCCACCAGTTAACTTTACCGTACTGCAACGCCTTGCTCTCGCTGCTTGGGCAGATAACTGCAAGACACTGTTGCGTGAGTCCGAGATTTCCGTCATATGCTTAGCTACTGTTGACTTTTATGATTATTTCTCACTATCCTCCTCCTCCTCCTCCTCCTCCTCCTCCTCCTCCTCCTCCTCCTCCTCTTCCTCCACGATGAGCACAGACTAAAACTGAATTTCTGTGTTCACAGCCTTTGTTATGTTGCAATGACGTAATTTTCGGATATCAGTGCTTCTAGCAGAAGAAATTTTTAGTGGGGTGCGAGCGAGTACATGTTTCGACTCGTTGGTTATGCTGATTTCCGTATCCCGCTTCGATCTGATATCGTGTGCATAGCCGTGAGGCCTTCAACTACGATTCAATCAGCCTGGCTTCCTCCTCGTGTGTGTAATCGTGGCATGAGCGTTTGGGGGCGGGGGGCAGATCGTGCATGTGGCGCATACCGAGAGGCGAAAACTGGAGGTATTTGACCACCACTGCTTGAGGACCATTCTTCGAGTGAAGTTCACCGATTTCGTCTCAAAGAGACAGTCCGCGCTCGCTGCGTCAACATCGCAAGGATAACTCAGGCCATCCAAGAAAGACGACTGAAGTGGTTCGGGCATGTTCTTCGTCGTTCACCTCAGGAGCTCAGTGTTACTGCCCTCGATCCGGCACCGCTGCCCCATTGGAGGCGTCGAAGAGGGGGTCAGTTTAAAACCTGGCTCTTCACAGTTCGTCAAGACATGGAGGTTGTTCTTGGACCTTCGGTATTCGGTCTACGTCGTTGGCGAAGGGAATGGGTTGTGCTGTCCAAATCTGCTGCCGCGAATCGTCACGCATGGAGAGGTGCAGTTCGGGACATCATTGAGGCCGGCTAGATCAGGCATGATCGCAGCCGTATCAAGTCAAGTCAAAGTCGTTTTTGGTGGGGTGCAGGCGAGTACATGTTTCGACTCGTAGGTTATGCTGACCTCCGTATCCCGCTTCGATCTGATATCGTGTGCACAGCCGTGAGGCCTTCATCTACGATTTAATCAGCCTGGCTAGGTGCACGGCCATTGCACTACCGGGTCAGTGCATATTTTAGGTGAAACCGCAAGCTGTCTGTTGAATGGCATGAAAAACAGCCAATAAGCCGGACCGATGCTTCTGCATAGAAAAGCTTAAACTGCTCCATTTCAGGCGTGTCGTCTGTTGTCATGTCAGTATGAGGTTTTCAGTAAAAGTTTCCTATCTCCACGCAACACGCAGGAATAAAAACTCCTGAAGTCCTATCGCTCTTTCAATTGTGGGCTTCGTAGCTAACATATCAACTTCTGCGGCATCTTGGCAAGCATTTTTGCCATTACTTTCAACGTAAACTGAGTAAGAGACTTTACGATCCTCCTTACGGGTTTTCGGCCGTCCATAATCGCGCCTTTTAGGACTGTTGGCCTATGTTGCCAAAACTACAACTACCTATAATTTGGCATAACGAGCCATTACCGGTAGGCACTACTACAGCTACTGTGTCACTCTGATATCCCAACTTACAGTGGTTCTTTCATAATCTAGGCCTAGGCGAAAGAGGCGATCTCGTAAAAGTTCACAGAAACCGTTTTTGGAATCACCTCTATTTGCTACGGTTAGCAGAACTTCCAACCGAGGAGAGGACTTCTCAGCTCAACGCAGAAAAGGTAGGCAGTCGGATGTTGTGCCAAAATTGTCTACTCTGCTGTCGTTGCGAATTTAAGTTTTTGAGGCTTTCAAAATTAGTGCCATTAGGAGTCTCCCTTCGTAGTCAGTTATTTTGCAATCTAGATCCTAAGGGTTAAAACTGGCTACTTTTAAATGCAATTAGTGACCCCCGCTTCCGAAGTTTATCTACTGATGGGTACCTTTGGTCCCATAAATTTCCCCATATATATGGTAGAGGGAGGACCTCACCTATCGTGTTACAGGGCACACTCTTCCCCTTATGTCTCAGGGCTCGTTAGAAGTTTATCGTCCTAACCATTGAGCCACAAGCTCGTTGTCCCGTGGGTTGCGATCGGGTATATTGGTAATGGTAGAGGGGGCGTTCACCGAACACTGTGCGGCTGCCGCCGGTGCTCTAGATCGAGCCCCAAGACACAGGGGAACTAGTATGTCCCGTAACGCGGTCGGTGAGCCACCCCCTCTACTGTTGTTAACTTTCCTGATCGAAACCGACAGGATGACCCCGTGACTCAATGGCTAGAACGCTAAACTTCTAACCAATAGAACGCTGGTTAAAGACTCAGGGTTCGGTAATCTGAGGTGGGGTGTGACTTGCTAGAAATGACCATTCCAGTCCTCCTGTCCTTGTCGGTAATGTCGTTCTGCCCTTACAGCTAGCTGCTGTGTGACTGCCTTCGGGGCTATAGATCGAGCCCTAAGTCACGTAACGAGCGGGAATATATGTATGCAGAAAGAGATTGTGGACAAGGACAGGGAAGACTGGAATGGTCGTTTCTACAGTAATTAATATCCCCGATCTGAACGACTGTTCCATCGCACGCACAGTAAGCTAGTTATTGCTCTCCTGTTAAATGCCAAGATCCCCCTGCATACCGTTCTCCGACTTATCAAATTGTTTACATTTCTTGAACGTTAGCTCCGCGTATGCTCGCTCAATCTCGTGTAAGACGCTTTTGCTTCGACATCATCTGGATTCTAAATAGGTGGCTTTTCAAACAGCATAAAAATATCAAGCAAAATTTAACACAAAATGCAGCCTCTTAGATCTAGAACTGTGGCGATAAGGATGAGATTTTCGAATTTCTTATTAACCTAGAGAAAAAAATCTTCCGACAGGCGATATATACGACGAATTATGGTTTCTAGCAAGTAGGTTATGACTAGATGACTAAGTGAGTTAGACTTCAAAGAATTGTGCCGATTGTGTACACCAGTTTTTTAAAATTTGGTGAAAAAAAGTTAAAAGAGCATGAACGAAATTCCCACGTTATAGGTGGACTTCACTAGTTGAATTTCAGGTTATTGAACAAGAGACTGTTTACAGTTGTCTACTCGGAGACGCTATTTGACCCACCTGAAATTTTGAGCTCTGTTCCCGATTTCAAATCCCAATTGTGCAAATAACTGAGTTTACTGAGTCACTGGCTCATGATGGCGCAAATAAGGCAAGAGTTACTCCTTCCATGCTCGCCTTTCCTGTGACGCTCCTGAATGAAATCAGTTCCATTTGACAAGTGCATAGTTTGTTGGAATTTGGCGAAATGTCCATCAAGTCCTATCCTGCCTTTGGTCATGTCCATTAATTTCTGGTCGACTTTTTTCATTCAAAGGTATAGGACATACAAGTGTTGGTATAATTCTCTGGTATGATCAAATTGACATTTGACTTTATTTGACTCTCTTCCATTCTTACGCCTAGCGAGAGGACAAGTCTGTGCTTTGCGGTCACGCCTACGAAGTTCAGCAACGCCTCCTTAACATGACCCTCTACATCCCAATGAACCCTAATGCCCAGTGGACCCTCACTCCGAATCACGTCAAAGTTGCATTCAGGCGCCTGGCAAGCTCATTCAATCTATCTTTAATTACCTCCGTAGGGCATAATGTTAGAGGAGAAAGATATCACATTGCCGGAGTCGCCTGTGACTGCTGAGACGCTTGGGATGTTTCACATCCACGTGAACGTAAGTTGCTTAGCCGTTTTCTTGTTCAGCTGATCTATCCTTTTAATCGCCTCCTACAAGTCTTCTTTTTCTTCATATGACTCATGGTCCTGCCTACGGTTTCGGGACCTTTGCGGTTCTTACGGAGTTAGTATCGATAATTATTCGGAAGACGTCATTGTTGCATTACACTTGCTCTCGACAGCAACGTAGCCTGGTCGTTCAAACCAGCCGCCTGTACACAGTGGGTCTCCCCTGGCCGACTAATGGCAGCGTGCAGGTCAGAAATGATCATTCAATGCCCTTTGACTGTGCTTTGATTATTGCTTGCTCCACACTGCGGCTGCCTGCCTGGCGCTGGACAGGAATTCCAAGGCAAGACGGGGCGTCGCTATCTCGCGCTGCAAGTTGAATGGGTCGGTAATAGCCGCGGTTCTAAGGAACTGCGGATGCTTCCAATCAGAGCGTAAGTCCAGGGATAAAATCCTTGAGCGTCAGGCTCATGGACTAGATGGAGCCAGGTTAAAACCTCAGAACTCCACGTCCGGGCGATTGGTGCTGGCTGAGGATGGGACGTAGGTCAACAATTACCATCTCAGTTTCTCTTGTTTTTGTTGATAGTATATCTCGAGATTGGGGACTGTGTGGCCCCCTCGGTCGAGTTAATGGTCTTGCCCAAGACTACGGTGCCTTCCGCTTCCGAATGTGCTATACAACGTGCCCTTTTCGGCATTACTTAGTGCTACAAACTATACTGGATTCCTCCTCCTTACTTTTATTGGTCCTATCTGCTTCCGATGTCTCGTCACTTTTTCCCTTAATTCTCGCATTTTCGTTTTTTCTACTAGATCGACGACCTCGCTATGGTGCCTGTAGAGTCCCGCATCTTCCTTTACCAGCGTCTAGACTCCAAGACCTGCACTCGTCCTCCAACCAACGTCTTCCGTAAGATTCGCCTGATCGACTGGGCAGCTGATTTCATGGATGAAGAACTTCGCCTCCTACCCGGACAGTCCTTGAGACCATATCGATAGCTCCCCCCTCCCCCTATTCCTCGACCTCACTTGCGTCACAATTATTTGTCCGTCCACATGTAAATTTGTCTTGTTCTAACCAACGAAAACAATTATAACATCCAGTGTCTTCTTCTGGTGCGGAATGTTCTTTTTGTCTCCTACTTAGTAAGGCGCAGCCCCTCCCTTCACTTGCTTCCCCGCGTACTTGAAAACGCTCTATGAAGCCGATGACCTCCTTTGTTGCTTTGCTCGTGATCGGCGTAAAGGCATGGTCCGCTTTAAAGGATCAGTTGTGGTCCTCTGACAAACTGGTTTCCTTGATCGTACGATGCCTTCTAAATTGGAGCACTATTCAGCACGTCGTCACGTACACTGTTCGGTCGAAGGACTTAGATGAGTGTATGGCTGGCTACACAGACCTGACACAACTGAATTTTCAGTTTGTTCTCTTTTATCCTGCCACTCACCGCAAAATTTTGGTGTCTTACTACATCCAATTCGGCCTTTGCAGAGGTGCCGCCAACGCACTTGCCTGCGCAAGTGGATTCATCTTTTGTCCTGAGCGGTACTTCTTTATGCCGTGCAAATGTGATTAAGCTCGCGTCGTCCGGCGAGGCCTCGTAGCTCAAGTGGTTAGAGCGCTGACCGTACTAAAGCCTTCCCCTTTCTGCGTGGGTTCGAATCCCACCGAGGCGCCGAGTTTTCCACAGTTGGGTTAATATGAATTCTTGTTTTATCATAGGTGGGCATCATGCGTTTCGAAGACGACGGTGTGTTCGTGTGTTTCGGAACGATAGTAGATGACGCAACCCATGAGGCATTAACTTAAAATTTCACATATGGTCTCGGCTAGAAGGGCTTACTTAGGTGGATTTGCAATAATGATCATGACGCACGATCCACAGATATCTCAGTCATACCAGGATGACTTTTAGATGCGCCTCTTTCCGGCCTCTCGCAAAAATTGCACTCACTAAAAATATTACCACTTGTATAGTATGCGTTTTTTCACCGATTTCCTATGCCTTACAAACATATGTTGTGGAAAGAATGCTTAAGAATATCCTTTTGTGCTCTTCCTGTAGTAGTTAACGTTTTTTTTTTCAAACTTTGTACTTGGAGAAAGTGGTTTTTGTACTAGAGTCTGTCGATTGCGGTTTCGCCACTCCCTTGTGATTCACGCTGATGTCGTTTCTACTTGCTTTTATTGAGTAGTTCTAGTTTTGTGCAATAACTTGTGTGGTTGTCATCGTAATGCGCTGGGCAGCCTTGGCCACACGGGCAGGTGTGAGATCGGCATCCCAATATACCCCTCATTAAAATCCCTTTGCCTAATTTGATAATTCCTATCTCCCTTCTCATTATAATCTACTTGAAAATTTACTTTCTCTTCGGTCGATGCTGAAATTGTCTCCCTGGACTAAACAGGGTTTCAGTCGTATGTTAGGAAAATTTATTCCTTCGGCCTATCGAATGACCCATTCTGGAATTGTTTTAGGCAAAATTACAGAACGTCACATCGATTTCCCCTGCCTATTCCTTTTGGCATCCAGTAAGCTACGCTGAAAATTCCACTCGAAAGTTCTGAGCTCCGTTTCTGTTGGGCATAGTTGCCTTTATTTCCATTCCTGCCATATAGTTTCTTTGTAGTTGTGCGTATGCCTATACGTTATTATTTTATATGACCGTGCATCTTACTCATTTGATTTATGCTTAGTTGCAGACCTCGTTTGCCCGCATTCTTATAATCACATTTTTTCAACCTTTCTTATTTTTCGGCTCGTATTCTTCCTTGGCCATGTGGTTTGTGTTTCCAAATATGACTTAGCTAGTTGTCTGTTAGTCATTTTGTAGCGACTTTAAGTTGCTGCTAATGACTCTAGTCATTTGCTTGTGTTATGCATTTCGTCTCGTGCAGTTTTCGTATTACGGATTTTCTGTTCATTTGAACAAGAATTGTGCGTTTTTTGTCATTTATTAGAGGTGGTTTCAGAGAATTTTCTTTGCTCAACCCATAAAATCCCCTTTTTAACTGGCGTCCCTGTCTTTGATTTCTTGTCCGGCGATGACTGTACTACACTGGCTCACATTTTAATGCCGCGCATTGTCTATTCAGAGAGCATCGCACCTGTCCTTTTATAAACACGCCCCGTGAAGTATACCCTTTGGTTGATAGCCGCCGCAAAAGTCAATGAGTCCCGTGCGATATCTTTCCAATAACCTGGAGGAGATATGTGATTTTCCTCAATTTGAAAGTATGCAGCTTGTCAGTGGAAGACCCTGAACACAAATATAGTGACAGGTCGGGTCCAAAACTACTCGGAAATCGAAAGACTTTTTTAGACTGGACTATGGCCTTTCATCAAGTAGAAAACTTTGACAAGACAGAGTTTGCTACAAAATCAGTACAAGAAAGAATACTTGTGTACAGGCTTTTTATAGAGCCTGCTTAGATTTTGAAGGGTGTAGAAAATTTACAGGAAACATTCATACCATTTCAGTGGGGGTTTTTTAACGAGGAAGTTTTTTGCTGGTGGTCGGAAGGGGGTGCATTAAAACGTCCGTATCGCGGTGTGAATGAAGTATCTTGAATTATGCTGCATACTAAAAAATATTACGATCCTGCCAAAGTAAGCCTTTCGAACCGAGATAATGTTTCAGTACTTCAGTTAATGTCTCATAAGTTGCATCACCTTTTCTACCAGTTCCTGTCCATCCGAGGGCAGTGCGCAGAAGCAGTTTACGCTAGTGACCATTTGGTTGTTTTTTTTCCGAGGACACGGGCCCTCAGATTGTATTGTATGTGTGGAGCACCTTCCTGACCCCTTCTACGAACAGTAAACTATGGACTAATGACGGCTTGAGTTTCCAGTCAGTGGTCGAAGAGGGTCCCAAGGGAGCAAGTTAGGCAAGATATTTGATGCAATGAGGACCGTAATTTAAGCGCTTTTGTCGTGGCTGATTCTGTCATTAATGCGTGACAAGGCGGTTTCCCACCGTCGCCCTCCATTGTAGTTGGCGACCAACCAATTGTTTGGCGTCCAGCTGTTCCAGGCAGGCAAATCAAGGGTCGCGAAGACAATGACGCGATTGAGGACCTCCTTTCACAACATCAACCCCAGCAGTCAGAACGCCTTCGATCGCATCTGCAAAATAGGCCTTTGGGCCGTAATTTGGTGGCGCCGCACGAGGAGTTGTGTGAAACAGCATTCGTAGTCTTGCTCCAGCCTACTCTCCCCCTTCCCACTCCTTCCCCCCCCTTGCCATTAGGGACCTCAAAGGGATTGAGGAAGGAAGAGACAGGTCAGACCCATGCTCGCATTTTTAGATTCTTTGTACTGCGGAAGTGACCTGGCTTTGCTTGTCATCCTATTTTACCTGACGCCCAAGCTACCTGGGACTCAAACCGGCACGGGAACCCCAATGCTAAACTGAACGCCTGTATTTCGCCCCGAAATCTAAGCTGGTGGGCAAACACCACTCTCATGTTACTCGGACCCATCCTCGACAGCCCCACCTTTTTTCCTAGTCACATTAGATTCTCGTTGGGAGGAGAGCGCCACCTGAGCCCATTCGTAAGAGTTTAGGGGCACGGAGCCATCTTGGTCTGGTGCCATCGTGCGTATCGCGGCATAAAGTAGTGGTTTCTGCATTTGGGAGCATCTTTGGGCCTGCGCTCACACAAGACTTCGTCGCTTTCTGGTTATTTGCTCCATAAAGGTTCTTTACCCACGGAAAGCTTGTTTCTAGTATAATTAGGTCGTGTACGACCTGGGAGAGATCCTCCTGAACTCTCTTCTTATTCCTTTCCCCACCCGTTTGTTTTGATCGTATTTGAAAAGCGCTTAAATGCAGTTTTCTGTCACATTGGGAACTATCTGATTTTCCAAAAGCGCTTGACGTGACATGAGATTTGATACCGATGGAGCAGTCAAGCGGGCAAGGATTGACTATGTAGTCCCACTAAGACAATGGAGGGCAGGTACTCTTGTAGTACGGGAAGGATGTTAATAGGGGTATCATGAGGGGGACAGATGGAGACCGTGATTAACGGAATCTGCGAAGGCATTGAGCAAAAACATTCCCGCCAGCGAGGTGCCGAAACAGGCTGTACAGTTTGAAAGATGCGAATTAGGAGCGCGTAAACAGGCGGAAAAGGTCATCTTTGTAATTGGATGATGATGGCTGTATCAGGTAAGACGGTATACGTCAGGCAAACTTAACTCCAACCCTTTCCGTATGCCCGACCGCAACCGGATAACTAATATAACGTGCCTACTCAAACGAAGTAAATAAGCATGTTATGATAATCTAACCCAGAAACCACATATTTACCCGTCGCTTTCATAAATCCTCTCAGAAGTGCCCTCACGCATGCCTTCCCTCTTTTCTTTCCGATTGACGATGTTTCTGACGTCATATCCTGACCTCTTTCAGAAATTCCAACTCCGTGCCTGTTTTCCGTTGGCGGACTTTGTCCGCGCGTCGTCCAATCAGGCCAAAGCGCGGCTTTCGACTTCCTTCGCCATTCAACGCGTAAAGGGTTGGCAAAATGCCTGTCATGTAAGAGTCATTTTTGCGCCCTTTCCAAAATTTAGACTCCCTTCTATCACTTTTGCTACATGGAAGCTCTTCGTTTCAGCATTTTTGAGGTTTATAGGCAATGCCTCTGAAAACCACATTACGCCTCCTGCATTCCAAGCAGTCATGGCCTCTTAAGTCCGCCGGTTTCAGAACAACCATGACTACACATGGGTATCCATCTCGTTCAATCTAGAAGTATAGCGATATCTACGGTAAGAATTCGCGGAACAGGCGCATTCGAGAAAGCACGATATAAAACTCTTGCCCTTTACAGCGACAGTATTTCCAACCTGATCAAGCGATGGTTGTTGTGCTCTACTGAAGAATTACGATAAATATCAGCTCATATTTGACGGTTTTACAGAAGCCACTCCAAGTTAAGGGAGAAGGATGTCTCACCTACGCATTCCACCACATATTACAAAGAATACCGGCGAAAACATGGGAGACCGGGGTGGCCATTTCTGATTTGGTAGCCGTGTCAGCCAGTCGTACCCAACCCCAGGTTTGCATGACCGGAAACTCAAGTCCAGGTTTTTGGTCGTTGAGTGCTGAATGATCCAACGCTCCCCCACCGAACCACCGGCTCGTCCTCTCGGTTGCGACTGAGCATATTAACCGTGGTGGAATTGCGATCCACCTGTAGTTGTGGATGCATGCACACCGGACGGGCTCAAATCCAACTGGCGGTCAGGTCAGTCGAAAACTTGTCTAAATGGCTTTTAAAATCGGAATAATAAGTTGGGTCTCCCAGACAGTGGATACTGTTGACCCCAAAAGAGCCGTGCACAAACGACTCAGGCACTGTGCTGCTCGAAGGCAGCTGACATATAGTAGTAAAAATCTGACCTGTTCAAACGAAGTATTTGACTCGACTCTGCTCTGGTAATCCCTGGTCATTTGGTCTCTGCATTCTGTTATGCGTTATCGGACCGTTTTTGTCGCGTTTTTAAGCCATCTCTTGTCATAATTAGATAGTCTCTTCTGAACTACGACCTCGTTTTCTCATTTTGACTTTCCAAATAAATTCAACCCTCTACGTGTTAGTTACACATTGCTCATGTTATAAAGCGGTGGGGAGCAGTTGGTATCCGGCAACGAACATTTTGGTGCCACTAAATTCCTCTATTTTTTGTTCATTTTAAGTTCATACAGCGCACGAAGTGCTACATGAATGCCTTAGAAGGCAGCATTGCCAAACCGTCAGTGATCTTGAGTTCACTCCTCAATTCTCGCCACAAGGGTGTTGGAAATTCGTCTCTATACCTATCTGATATTATCCGGTCATCGCAATTATAAGCAAGACGCATTTTGCCTGCTTCTCACTTTCGTTTCAGCGTACGGTCATTTTGCTCGTGGTAGCTTAACGTGAGATGCCTCCTTCAGGTAGCTATTACGCGTGACCTTCACAACGCCCTATACGCACCTACACTGGCTGATTGATCCACGTGCCGTTGCATTTTCCAGTGTTATCACGCACTGCGCTCACGCAGCCAGGTGGCGCAGCTCACATCGCCACGAAGTACAAACGCCGTCCCCACGCGGGGGGAACCATTGTGGGCCGGGCAGCACAAACCAGTAATAGCCACGGATGTGGTCCCCTCCCCCCCCCCTCACGGCACAACGATATAAATGTTCACACGTTGCTGCACTCTAGCAGTCTCTGATGATGAACTCCTGCTCGGGTTCGAAAGCTAAGGCTAATAACTACCGTCCCAATGATCGTGCCTTCGTCTTCTTTTAAAGAAGCACCTGGGATGCGCATATTCTCTCCTATTCGTGAAAGTGCCAAATGTTTGAAAGTTTTTTTTAGATTTTTTACGCGTGTGCATTTTGTCTGTGGCATCTTCAGCCAAACGGACCTCGTTTTTCCGTCTTCCTCGCTGGACCGTCCTTTTCTGGGCTTGCCATCTGTTACTCATTCACTGCTGGTCTTACTGTTTTTGCACTTTATCTTTGTTCCCTTAGTTCCAGCAGCTCTCCCCGACTAATCTCACAGCCCTGCGTCACTTTGATCGCTACTACGCCCACGTCTATGGACTGACCGCATGGAGCGCTCTTCGGGCTGCCTTGCTAGCGCCCTCTGCCAAGGTGGCGGTGCTCAACTCCGTCTGCCCCGAGGCCGAGAACACTGCGCGCCGACTTCTATCTCCTGCACACGGCTGTCTGGACCTCATAAGCAGTCTCATCTCCTCCTCCTCCTCCTCCTCCTCCTCCTCCTCCTCCTCCTCTTCCCCCTCCAGTGCTACAACTAGCACCCCGCCGCAGGTGGCCGCCACTGAAACACCTTCCGACAATGGCACCGACAGCGAGAGCCTGCGTCAGCGACAACAACATCAGTTCCTAGTGGACTCCAGCCTATCCTCAGACGCGGTCCTATCGGAGTTTGTGTCACCCACAGAGTTTATCAGCGAACACAGCCTCTACGTCCGTGACTCCGACCGAGCCTTTACCCTGCGCGGCGCACCCACCGACGCTGAGTCGGCTGACCTTGTTGCCATCTCCGAAGCAACCGAAATGGGGTCGCCGGCCTTTTGGCGGTCCTGTAAGCACCTGCGTTGCTTTTGCCTGCCTAAAGGCGTCTACGACACTGTCGGCCGTCCAGCCCTCGGTTCAGGGCGAAGTATTGGTGCGTGAGTTTAGCGCGTGCGCGCGCACGTGCCAAAAAATAAGTAAATGCTGTAGATGACTGAACCCTTGTCTTGCCTCCTCCTCCTCCTTCAGACTTCTATCCCATTGACCTGGGTTCCGTTCTGGCGGTGTTAGCGCTGGACATTCAGCCTGGAGTGAGACTGCTTGACGTCTGTTCAGCTCCCGGTGGGAAAGCTATCACTGCTTTGCAGACCCTAAACCTGTGTAAGTGCTGCTTTTCCTATTCCCTGAAAGTATATCCTTCAGCTACCTTCTACAGACCACTCTTCTGGCTTTAGTAACAGAGATCCGGTTGGCCGCTCCAGTCATTCTTATGTAGGCAACCAGCCGACGACGTCATTGGTCAGCACAAATAACCAAATCCGGGAATTCCGTTACAGAAACCTAATTTAGCGGTTTTCTGCGTTAAGGGAGAGAACGTTGATGGGTGAGTAGAGAAGGAAGCAACGGTGGCCCAGTTTCAACTTTCCATCTGCTCCGTACTACCGTCGTTCAAAGAGGTTAATAATCGTACTTTCCGGAGTGTGAAGTCTGATGCGTACAGCAGGTGCACTATCTCATGAAATGTCAACCGAACTTCTGAAATGCGTTTTCGTTTCGAAAAGATTAATTAGGTAAGGTTGTAAAGCGAATCATTGTGCAGTATAATTCTATAATAGTTAAGTTGCCTCAAAATGCCGGCTTTCGAAATAACTTTCCGGTCGCATGCAAAAGTCACGCTCTGTAAAAAGTGACCACTTGACTAGCATACATTTTTCTCATCGATTTTCGATGTCCTTAAAAAGTTTAATTGTATTTCATGGATGGCATGCATAAAATATTCATTTTTTGCTCATTCAGTGGAAAACTACGTCCTCTTCCAGTTATATACTCGAAGGAGGGGTATAATTCGGTTTTGAAGAAATCTCTAATTGTGAAATTTTTTAATACCGTGAAATGGCCGTTCATGAAAAGTTATTTCTCTGCATTTACCAAGGTGGCTTGTAAAGGTAACATTATGACTGAAATCCACTGCTACATTTTATGAAACCCATATGGTGTCCTCTTAATACCGTAGAGAAGCGTATGGTTTTCCGTACGTGAAAAATATACGGCTTGAAGTCTGGAAACCCTGAATGCAGATGTAACGGCAGGTCGGGGTTCAGAATTATTTGGACATTGAAAAGAATTTGGAAAACCGAATTATACCCTTCCTTCGAGTATAAACTTGGAAGAAGACGTAATTTTCTACCGAAGGAGCAAAAGGATGAATATTTTCTGTATTTTTTCCGTGAAATATAATTGAATTTTTAAGAGCATCGGAAATCAATGAGAAAAATGCATGCTAATCAAGTGGTCATTTTTTACAGTGTGATTTTTACATGCAGCCGAAAAGAATTTCATTCGAAAGCCGGAATCCTGAGGTAACTGAATTATTATAGAATTATGCGGCTTGATGATTGGTGTTACGACCCTATTTAATTAATCTTCGAAACGAAAAGGCATCTCGAAATTTCAGTTGACATTTAATGAGTTAGCCCACCCACTGTATAGTAGCAAGTTATAAAGTTTGTTATCCAAATTTCTGTAGCCTAGAATCAGAATACCTTCATAAGGTGTACATGTGTCTTGTTGATCACGAATTTTTTATACGCCGGTCACCATATCCTCAGTACTCCATGTACCGTCGAATGATTTAAAAACAAATCCTGTAACCGGCCTTCTAAGGGTGGCCGCTTTGGTATATGCAAAGTAATCCGGGCAGTTGCTCTCCCTATGAACGTTTTGTTGCCTGTTTTTGTCTGCGCGATCGCTTTGCTCGCTCGTATGCGCCAACCCTGTTGTGCAATGCGAAATGGCAACTTCAGTAGACGGGGCGAAACCCCATAGTCCTCCGAAATGGATGCCATTGGCAACGCCGCGCAGACACCACAACAGAAACCGCTGTCAGTGTTCACACACACACGCCGATACGAGGAGACGAAGTTGCGGCAAACCTGTATGTAGGCAGGCAAAGGGCGTACCTCATTCGGACAGCAGACTTTTCCCCACATCTATTTCGGGGCATGTGTACGCACAATGTTGTCCAAAACGCAAAAATGGCGCATTTTAATTCTCCTTACCGCCGACGTCTCCAAATTACAAAAAATCCTTTGTTCATCTGACTGAAGCTCCTCTGACAGCGTTCTTCCAGAGGCCATTTTCGTTTCGCTATTTTGAACGTTTGATGTGGTTTTGTCATTCTCTAGTCTTCACAATGATTCTGCGTAATTCACTTGTTAACCAGGGCAGCTTTACAAGAAGGCTAGAGTCACGATGTGCTAGTTTTTTTCCCAAAAATCTTTTAAAAGCTGATTGGGTTTCCCCCCTTTTTTGTTGGACGCAGAGAAAAACTCGAGTTTGCACTTGTGGTTTTACGCCCATGCAGGGCTCCCTATAAGATGCCTTTTCCGAACTGGAGTGGGTATAGATTGATCTGATTGATGTCTAGCAACGAAAGGTGGTGGAACAGGGAAGTAGGGCCCCCCATAATTTCAAGGGGATCAGGGTGAGGGCGTGGGGCTAGGTACCCCACCTCTTATACAAGAGATGCCTGTTTCCTTGTTATAGCCACCAACAGGCAACCACCTGCCGAGTCACAGGAACTATATAGACCAACTTAGAGGGTAATCGACAAACGATGAGGGAACTCACCAACAGCATCGGCTGGGTGTAGTGGTTGGCCGAGGAGGGCTGCAATTTTCCAAAAACAACTGACCTCTCAGTCTGCCTCTCCTTTTCCAGCTGGTCATGCAGAAGCTGCACTCTTTAGTGGGCCTCTCTGCTTCATGATCGTTCAGATGCGAGCATTACGGCGCAAAATAGCCCTTAAAGCCATCGTTATGTATTGTAACGTCCGCTAGCAGCTGCTTGTTTTTGATAAATTTTGTCGCAATAAGACTGGGGTATTTTCAGTCTCGACCTTGTTGTCTCGGCTTCGTCCAGTATTTCTTGAAGGGGTTCGGCCCCAGGCAGAGATGTGGCTTTTCGGGAAGGCCCTCTGCCAATATTCAGCTAACTCTGGGCGAAACCAGTGTTGGAACTGACTGGATCAGATTTATGTATCAGCCGGAAGGCCCTACGTTTTTGCATACCTTTTATTAACTACAGTACAGGCGTACTTTCGGTAGGAAGATCTGGCTTAAAATAATGATTGAATCGGTTTTGGGGAATCGAGAGTGCACAAAACGGTCATTTATCTAGTTTGCCATGATCAAGAAAGTTTGGCGTTGGAGCCTAGATGAGAACTGGTGGCATTCTATGTGGGAGAGGGGAGGTGGCATTCGCCGGTCTATCTACCCCTCGAAATGGAGTGCGGATGTTTCCCCTCTCAGTCAATCATACTACTACTACTACTACTACTACTACTACTACTACTACTACTACTACTACTACTACTACTACTACTACTACTACTACTACTACTACTACTACTACTACTACTACTACTACTACTACTACTACTACTACTACTACTACTACTACTACTACTACTACTACCGTGATAATGGTTTATTTGGGTTTGCATCAAATCGGTTGTCTGGTCATTGAGAGGGTGAAGGAGTTGTGACTTGATTTTGAAAGTAATTTTATAATAAATTCCTTTTATTCTGAGTCAGCGGGATGTCATGTGCGAGTAGGGACCAACCCGTGTGTGCGCCTAGATCTGGATTGGGCCTCATCAACAACTGCTTCTGCATTCCTCTCCGGTCGTCTTGACTTTGTCCTGCCATTAGAACAGAGGTTTTTGTGGGTTGCCAGGGTGAACTCCAGTTGGTGACCTAACCCTGGAAGTAGGCCTGAATTCAACGGGCTCTCTATTAGCTCATGGACCGACCCAATTACGAATGACGACCTTCAGTCACCTGGAAGCACAACAAGTATTCAAGGTCATGTTACCTTGGGCAGAGATCGCCATTGTCTGATAAGAGCAAAGATGCCGAAATCATGCAGCGACTGGGTAAATAAAGCATTTTAATTGCTGCAGCGTCTAAAAAAACCGATGTTAGTTCATCTTCGGGTTGAATATCCTCTGAAAATTACTATAATGTGCAATAGGGCAGCAGGATTAAATCCTTAATTTTTAAAATTTTTCAGAGTGATATGCAGGATTCGACGGTAAAAAGTTTTGTTTGCGCATTGTCTGATATATGGTTGAATGGCGCAAGGACTATTTTGCTTTATTTCCTGAGCATAAACGTCGCACATTCTGACAGACTGGCCAGCAGTGGAAACATTAAAATATGACGACAAAATGCAGTCAATAGTACGCCCTTTTCTGCGTGAGAAGTACTGTCCGTTTATAAAATTAAAACGAGCTTTTTGACAACGAATCTGAAGGCCTCTGTGAAATGTTCATGAAGACTGTGCGGTCTTTGGTATCCTCGGTGGGTGGTTTTCAGACGTCTTACCCATGCAGCTAGCCCTCTGACGTTATTTTTCCACGAAAAGCAGTTCGCGTCTTATCCTTAGGCTTACATAGGCATGAAACCCAATCGCCAAAGGAAATTATTGTTCTCAACGAAGACCTGCGCTAAATGTGCTTTTCATCACATACAGTAGGTGGGCTAACTCATGAAATGTCAACCGAAATCCCGAAATGTGTTTTCCTTTCGAAAAGATTATTTCAGTAGCGTTGGAGAACTAGTCATCAAGCGGCACAATTCAATAATAATTCAGTTACCCCAGGATGTCGGCTTTCGAACAAACTTCTTTCCGGCTGCATGCAAAAACCATAAAAAATGACTACTTAGATAGCGTACATTTTTCTCATTGATTTTCGATGCTCCTAAAAGTCCAATTATACTTCACGCAAAACATACGTAAAAATGTTCATTATTCTGCTTTGTCGGTAGAGAATGAAGTCTTCTTCCAATTTTTATACTTGACGGTTTTCAAAAACTTTTCCAATTCCCGAATAATTTTGAACCCGACCTGCCGTCACACTCGTATTCAGGACTTCCAAACTACAAACCATACATTTTCCACGTACGGAAAACCATACGTTTCTTTACGGTATTAAGTGGGCACCATATGGGGTCCATAAAATTCAGTAGTGGATTTGGACCAACTTTACGAGCCGCATTGGTAATTGCAGAGACATGACGTTTTATGAACGGCCATTTCACGGTATTAGAAAATCTTACAATTAGAAACTTTTTAAAACCTAATTATACTCTTCCTTTGAATTTAAAATTGGAAGATGTAATTATCTACCGAATAAGTAAAAGAATGAAAACCATTATGCATGTTTTCCATGAAATATTACTGCATTTTCAAGGACATCGAAAATCAATGAGAAAAATGCATGCTACCTAAGTAGTCATTTTTTACGGAGTATGGTTTTTGCATGCAGCTGGCAAGAAGTTTGTTCGAAAGCCAGCATCCTGGGGTAACTGAATTGTTATAGAATTATGCTGCACGATGATTGGTTTTCCAACGCTACTGAAATAATCTTTTCGAAACGAAAACACATTTCGGGATTTCGGTTGACTTTTCATGAGTTAGCACACCCACTGTAGGATAATATACAATGACGTTTATCCTTAAAAGTGCCTTGCCAATGTATTTCGCAGTCAAACACCCAGGCTCCCATCATTTGTGAGGGGAGGGAGAGATTTGAATCCTTTTGTCCGTTCGGGATAATTTTTCTACCGCAGATGAAAAATCCCCCTCTGCTCCTTATTTTAGAGTGTTTTTAATTGGTTTCTTCCACTTATAGGCCCCACTGTATGTTCTTGAGTTTGCTATGGATTTGCTTCATAAACACTGAATTATTTAAATAAGCAAAGGTTGAAAAGCATGAGGGTTTTAATTACGTTTCAGATAAACCGCACAAATCGACCGGGGCCCTATTGTCCACTTCGCGGCTTTATACGCCCCTGGAACTTACGCACGCATATACCAAAAGAGGTCAGAATTATAAAGAAGGGCTTCTGTTTATCGGGGAACATCGTGGTTACTCACCTTCTGTCTCGCTCCAGTCGAGTTTTAAGTTGGCTTACCTTGTCCTATTTACCCTTTCTCATTTCAATTATTTCCGTCTGCTAGGCTAATCGCGATGAAATACGCAGATGCTATCTACGATAGTTATTAGCGTAGACGGCAATCACCGGGCTGTAAAGAAATGTTTACTTCCACCCAGAAATATTACTTTTTTTATTAAAATAACTTTGAAACCCATACGGCGTAAGCAAAAAGACCTTTTGCGTAAGGTGTTCGTCTGTAGTGACACAAAGCGTTTTGCACTTTTAGTCTGTTAGAAAAACGTCTGTTTCTTAACAGTCGTACTCACACCCCCCCCCCACTGCGGGGCTCATTCGTTTTTTCTCACTTGACTAGTGTCAATGGTCCGGGGATATCCTTCGTTGGAATCTGGACCCGTCCACAATCAACGAAATTAATAAGTGAACAACATAGCATCTGAGACACCTGCAACAGCGGGCCAATCGCGGGAGATGCGATGGAGCGTCACGTGGGACCAGCTTAGGGTACAGCACACCTAAACTGGGCTACGCAGAATCTGCGCATCTTATAGAAATTGCCACATAGGGGCCGGTGGTGACACGCCTGGTCGCAGGCTCACGTCACGCCGGCCACTTCAGCCCAATCCCCGTATTAGATGGCTGACCCGCTCAGACAGCGGAAGGGGGGCGAGATCGAATTTGGGCAGTGTGACCCCATGACGCTCAGCGCATTTGCTCACTTTAATAGATCTGACGCGCTTTTAAACTATCACGATGCACGGTTTTGAAGGTCTTCAACTGACGGGCTAACTCGGTCCTCTCAAGACCTACAGTCAGGCCGCAGTGGCTTCCTCATGCGGCGTCTATGACAGTCATACTTACATTGAATCCGAGCCTCCTCTTGCCTTGTTTCTGTGAAAACCTGGTCCCTCGTACGCGGACTAGGCGTAATTGGTACTCGTGGACGGGTTGTTGACCATTGCGTCCGAGCCCGCCTCCGGTCGTTCTGACTGTCTCACGCCACCTGGCCCGAGTGGGTGAGAGATGAGAGAGTGCAGCAGATGCTACGCAAGCCCTAACTCACGCGCAAGTCACTGTCCTGCGCCCGCATCGTTGTGGCACACGATGAGCATCGTCATTCGCGATGCTCGAACTGACTGGACATTCTGACCATCAGAGAGTTCGTCAGCTTGGCTTCCTTCTGCGGATGCATCGCATGTCTCCTCTGCAATAGTCCACCTCTCTCTCGCAAGTCATTACTGCATCCTCGGTACACTGATGGTCCGCGTTTGCTGGGTGGACAAAGCAGCGCTGTGCAAGTAGTTCAGTGAAAATTCATTCGCTGCGGTTAATCTTCTTTGCTGTGACAGTTCAGTCGCCCCCTCTTTTTTGCAGTCTGATGGGTCGTGAGGCAACTTTTACCGTTGCCAGGCTCGTGACTGTGGTGATGATTGTAGTGGATCTCACAATAACGGCACCTGGGGGAGGGGGGCGGTATTTTTAGTCGTCGCTCTGACTCTACCTCAAGTGTCGCCATTTGCCTGAGTCGATTAGACTCGGTGCATTCCTCTTATAAATTTCGTACGCAAGCACCTTGAGGTTTCACACTCAGTGACACTGATCTTTCTATTCTCATAATCCAGCGCACATCACTTGCCTGGATGTCTCCGAGTCTCGCCTCGAACGTCTCATCCGCGTCCTGGAGAATTTCGGTCCAGGTGTTGGTGTTGGCCGACCTGGCCTGCCCGACGTTCGCGTTGCCCCCACTTCCAGTCTGCGCCCTCTTCTTCGGAAGGCCGCCAAAGACGCGGCTGATAGGGATGAACTCTTTGATCGGGTTCTCGTTGACGTGCCCTGTTCAACTGATCGCACAGCGCTGACCTCGGACAAGGGCAGCTTCTTCTCCCGTGGCAAGGCGAAGACCCGGATGGAGTTGCCCACAGTTCAGAGGAAGCTACTTTGGTACAGTGAGAGTTCCAGCCTTCTTATTGTCCTCCTGCATATAGCAGCACAGTGTTTTGGCTGATTCTGGCTCATGAAATCACCACCTGAACCAAATGAGTAACACTTCCCCCTCCCTTTCTATCTTTTCAGGGAAGCTATGCTGGCCTGTCGTCCGGGCGGCTACGTCGTCTACTCCACATGTACGTTGTCGCCGGCGCAGAACCAGTCGGTGGTTGAGGCCTGTCTCACTCGACTGGCTCACGCTAAGGCCGACGGTGGTCACCTGTCCAAACTACGCTACGCCTTTGTTGACCCCACGCCATTCATCCGCTTGGTCGCTGGGTGTGAGCCGCTGGGTGTAAATATCGTGCCCGCCTACGCTTCACTGCCGGTTGATAGTCATCTCTGCCACCCTGACCTCGACATTCCCTCACCTCCTCCACCCCTGGGATTCTACGTATTACCTAGGCTCTCAAGTAACTACGGCCCGAGCTTTGTTTGCAAACTCAAACGTCTGGAGTAGCCTGTTAAAAGAAGCCTCCTTTCGTCACACATCTCACGCCTTTCTTTCACCCTGATTGTAGCCGCAGAGTCTTCTACTCTCGAGAAGGACGATTTTTATGGATAATCAGCAAAATTAAAGAGGACTACACGGTCGGTCTCGGGAAATCAACACCAGTGTGCGCCTGTTCATCGCTAACGACGATATTCACCGTTTGTCCCACGGCCTGTTGGGCACAGGATGGCGACCTTCGCATGAATTAACCTATAGTGAAAACTGACTTGTCCAACGCCTATCCGACTCTCTCTCCTTCCTCACCTAGGCTCATTGGCAAGACAAGCCAAGACGCGACCAGAGACAGGCTCGGGTACAGTGCTCGGCAAAGCTAAATAGCCCGTCCATGCGTGCGTGCGAGCGTGCAACACTCGACCTAGTCCCGCATCAGATTATCACAGGAAGGGCTGAACAACTCGGATCCCGTCTGAGTGGAAGCACCATGGAGGAGGATGGGACCACTACAGCCTGACACCCAGTCCCTGTGCCAGAGTCAAGTTACCCTGTCAACCGGTAGCCTTCCAAGCCACGAATTAAAGCGCACAGTGATAGCCTCAAAGCGCTCCACACTTACTATTAGTGGATAATATGAATATAGACTCAATCGAGGGCTGAGTTCACGGTGGGATTTGGGTGAGACTGATATATAAGAGTCCCTCTCTCTCTCCAAAGTTCATATTTACATAGTGTCGTCTAATTTTCGTTAGGTAGGTGTCGGCATTCAGTTATCGACCCCAGAAATGATACTTTAGACGGACCACAGTGGTTCGACCGACGTCTGTCCGTCCATCCGGAAAATGACGCATTCAGGGGTAAGCTCACGCTACTTGCTTGATGGCAGCATAAAGCCGCAGGAAAAGAAGACTGTACATTTATACGGCAAAATAATGGAGAATTTGCCCCTAGGGATGTGGTACAACATTAAACCATAATAATCACGCACGCAAGGTTCAATACTGAGGCGATCTAGCGCCTAACAAAAAATGCTGTTTAGAAATGTGCGTGTTAATATGCGATGACATTATTGGATCTCGGTTCTGCTAGCATCGTTATCACAGGCATCACAAACGACATCGATCAATAACTCTGTAGTGGTGTTGGGGGTTCCCGCGTTCGCGGTATATACAGTGCGGCCCGGAGGTTGATTTCCCGGGGAAGGGTGTGACTGTATTTCACTCAAACTGAGATTTTGTTCCATCAATGGCATCGCAGGAGTGGCAGTATCAGAATCCGACTGCGGGCTGCAGCCTGCAAGCGCAAGAATGGATTTTAAAAATTCTCTTATTTCTGAAATTCCCGACTGCACGCGCACACACACTTGCTTCATGTGATGTTGGGTGATCAAACTGGTCTCGCAATCCCACGCCTAAGCCTCACAGGCAGGTATGCTCTTTTATTCGAGAAATAGCAACCGCTTGGGTATGCTTTTTTGAGCTTTCATTGCGTCATCTGTGGTGCTTTTTTAATTAAAATCTCACGTAGACCGAGACCTCTGCGCAGGGGCCAGTAAGTCCACTAGCGCAAAGCAAGATAGTATTCGTCTGGTTTTTAATGAGGAAGGAATGGTCGACAGTTCTGTCTCACGCTGGAACGCACAGAGAGACGAGAGAGAGATTTCGCTACGAACTACCAACAGATGTTTTATCTCAAACGAGGCGGGTGTGTTGCTGCAACTAATTAAAATTAACTTGAGCAAAATTCAGTAAGTACCGATCTGTTAAGAGTTAGCAAAAAGATTGACCATGAAAAATTGCAACCTCAGGGTAGTCGTAATGTCTGTTGAGTCTGTGCTCTGACAGCCTTTTATTGGAAATTACGGAGGGAGGGGGCACCGTTCCGGTTGATCGCACTAGCCGAACTGCTGGCCGCTCGGCGCTTCCACAGGTGGCGGATAGAGGAACGGCCTTCAATGAAAGTTAACGGCGAAATAAGCAGGCTCTCAGGTCTGGCGAATAAGCCGTCGCCAACCAGTAGCGGTAAGGCTACCAGTATGCTGAGGGCTGAGGTCTGACACGCCCTCATCTTTATAAAATGCCGCAAGGTCCGGTGATGGCACTGTGACATGGCGACTGTGGACCGCCGTCAGATAAGCTTGTTCGTCACGGCTGCCTTGTGGTTAGGTTCTCGAGCCAAAGCGCCAGAGTAGACGACCTCGAACAAACAATCCGGGAGTCTGTTGCAGAACGGCATATACTCAAAATCCCTAAGAAACCTCACGAAAATGACCGATTAAAATAGCGCAATCTATGCTATGGCGTCCATGGGAACCGACGCGCTCCGCAACCCTGGTCCAGTGATGCGAGCGAATGGTATGCGAGCTGAACTTCTCAACTGCGAACGGGCTTTTGTTATTAGATGCTGGAATGTCCGAATGTTTCTGGACCATAGTGTTCAGAGTCTGACAGCGCGCAGTCCTCAGCAGCACGACGTTGGCGTCTGCAGCCCTTCTGAAGTCCGAATCCCTGATTCAGACCCTCTCGAAATAATGGTCCGGAAGACAACCCTCATCTCACCCTGCACCGCGGCTGTCCACGCGACTCTTCTGGTAGACACGGCCTGACGATCGCCCTCTCGGAACAAACAAACCGTGCACTACTCGCGAATTAGCCACCCAGTGGCCGGACGGCCTACATGCGACTGAAGGGTCACTTTTCGAACATCCCTGTCGTCTCCCTGTACGCGTCAACACCAGGTGTGATGTGAACGACGGCTTTGATGCTGACAACTTGGCCAGGGTGATTGAAGAAGCGTGGATGAATGAGGTTGTTCCTGGTGACTGGGGCTCGGGTACAAGAAGGGAGATGAGACAAAGTGAGAAGTACCGCACCATTAGCCGCATCGACGTTTCCTTGAAGGTCTTCACTGTTGTCCATCTCGGGCGATTCCAATCCGTGCGTGACTCTATGACGAGGCCCAACTAACTCGGATTCTGAGCTGGGTGTGGGTGCGCGGACCAGACATTCACTCTGAGGCGGAGTTCACTCTTGGCTTCCAGCAACCGACGGCCGACTGCTTTGTTGGCCTCGCGGTTGCATTTGATTCCGTCCACCGTGAGTCCCTGTGGCGAATGGTGGAACTAAATGTTGTGACAGCCAAAAAAACCATCGTCATGATCAAGACCTTCTATCGCTCCAACACTGCACGAGTTCTGGTCCACAACAATATCTCCTAGCCTTCCGATGTTCAGTCTGGCTTTCGGCAAGGTTTTATCCTGTCGCCCATTCTGTTCAACTACGCCATTGACTGGATTCTAGGTAAGGCACGTAGAGGCTGTTGAAGGTGTGGAGTTCGTGTCCGGACGTCGGCTGACTGATCTAGATTACGCTGACGATATTACCTTGCTAGTCCCAGGCTTTGAATATCTACAGGCTATGGTGTCACGGGTAAATGAATTCGCTACTTCGGTCGGTTTATCCATAGACGCTAGGAAGGACAACTTGTTTTCGAGCTTCGTCCCTTGTCAGGAGAAGGCACAGCTCGGGATTAATGGTTGTCAACCTGGAGAAGCAGACGATTTCAAATACCTCGAGGTGAAGTTGCTGCCCAATGAACAGTGTAAGGATGACATTATCTCTCAGATTGATGCTGCCAGCTGGGTTTCCTCAAACCGTAGAAAATGCCTATGAATCCGGCTCGACACGAAGACCTGCGTTTACCGTGCATCCGTCCACTCGACCCTCTACGGCGGTAAACGCTGGACTGTGCGAGCGGAAGAGGTGTAAAGAGAGGTATTTGATCGCCGCTGCCTGAGGGCCATCCTTCGAGCGAAGTACACCCACTTTCTCTTAGATGAGACCGTCCGAACTCGTTTCAACAGTATCGCGAGAAAGAGTGACAACTAAGGTGGTTTAGGTACATGAGTGACCGATCTCCTGAAACGTTAGCCACCATTTTGAAAGGCGTTTTTGCTTCGGAAGGATTGCTTGGGTGGGGTTGCAATACTGATTATCCCGAGGCATTATCCCATTGTATTCCGGATTCGGCAGGATGCAGGCTTCTGAATGGACTCCTTTTCCGTCTCCTGTAGAAACCATACTCGGTAAAAAATTACTATACAAGTAGCATGCATTTTTCACACTGATTTTCGATGGTCTTATAAATTCAAAGAAAATTTCTTAAAAATATGAACAAAAATACGTTTTCTTTCATTCGTTTGATAGAGGATCAGGTCGACTTTATATTTTAAATTCGAAGAAAGAGTACAACTTGTTTTCAAAAAAAGTTTTTAATCATGAGACTTTTTAAGACCGTACCTATCCGTTTATCCCTGCTCCTCATGAAATTTACAACCTAATCCGCATCCATAGCAAAATTTTGTAGACTTAATATGACATATTTCTAGAGGCGTAGAAGAATATTTGATTCTCCTTACGTGGAACGCATGCACCTTGTAGACTGAAATCATTAGGTGCTCGTGCAACGGCTGATCAGGCTCTAAATTATTCGGGAGTTCGAAAACTTTTTTTAAAACTAAATTAAACTCTTTCTTCGAGTATAAAATTTGAAGCCGACGTAATTCTCTATCCAACGCGTGGAGGGCAGCATATTTTTGTTCATATTTTTAAGAAAATTTATTTGAATTTATAAGACCATCGAAAATCAGTGTGAAAAATGCATGCTACTTATATAGTCATTTCTTACCGAGCATGGTTTCAACAGGAGATTGAATGGAGGTGCGTTCAAAAGCCGACATCCTTCCAAATCCGAAATACTATGGAATAATGCCGCGGGATAATCAGTATTGCAACCCCACCTAAGTAATTTTTCCTAACCAAAAACGCCTTTCAGAATTTTGGTCAACATTTCATGAGATCGGTCACTCGTTGTATGTTTTTACTCGTCCGCTGCATGAACTTGCCTATACTGCCCTCTATCCGGCGCCGCTGCCCACCTACAGGCGTCAAAATCCGTCTCGACACGGTTCGCCAATACACCTGAGTAGTCCTTGAGCCTTTGGTTATTTTTTC